TATTCGTGTATATGAGAAAGAAAACTTGAGAAAGCCACCGTGAGTGAGAGTAGGTTAAATATATGGTACATAGGTAATAAGCTTTATATGCCATACCAGATTCTAATCATGGACATTTTGGGGTCATGACTGTTTTGACCCCTTCGACTATGGCTATTTTGCTTATACCAAAATCAAAAGCTTATTGTGCCATGCAGCCACTGGTGCCTGAATTTAAGAAAAAAAACACCCTTGTATAGTGTACTGAAAATACAAAGAGACCATCTGTTATCTCATACATTGAAGGCTTTTTAGAAGACGTTGACTTAGTGAAGAGAAGACTCCATCCAGACCTCCAGTACAGCATTCTCAGGTGGTTGAATGTAGCAATGAGGGTCGTCAAAGTGGAAAACCCACCAAGCATATCTCTCAAGATTTTTCAAATGTGGTTTTCTTCACCACTGTGGTTTCCGTCCTCTGTGAGAAGCTTGTGTGCAGCTGTGTACAGGGAATATGTTTTGCTGAACTTAGCAGGTGGTTCAATAAAGTGAGTGGAAGTTTACAGTCAAAACATTCTTGGCCCATTTTTTTGTATCCTGAAGGCCTGGCATCCTGTGAGGAGGCATCATATTTATAAACAGAAGCTGAGCTGCATAAAGACGTTTCTTTACAATAGCTGCAATCAGATGGGCAGCTTGGCGCGGTCTGTCTGCACTTCTAATTTGGTCCAAGCTTTTCTATTCTTTCTTTTTTTACAGGGAGAGTCGTGATTAGACGTTAGACATAGTGCTGATCACCATGGCCATCAGCAGCTCCTCTGCGGCATTGAGCCTGCTGCCACCACTGCTGCCTTCTTGCCAGCCTCCCCTCCTGCTCCAGCCCTACAGATCTGCCTCGCCCCTCTTTGCTGTCCTGCCCACCCCACCGGTGTCCTGCCCAGACGTCCTGCGCAGACCTGCCCTCTCTTCACTGTCCTGCCCAGACATGAGCATAGGTTTGCTAGTCCCCAGGTCTGGGTGGGGGCTCCCCGGCTTCTAGGGGCTTCAATCCACCCCCAGCCAGCTGTCTGCCAAAGGAAGCCCTGCCCCCAAGCCCTGCCCCCAAGAGCGACCACCCCAGGCCATCACGCTCCCTCCCCTCCTGCCTGATTTAAAGGACTTCAGCTGATCAGCAGGGACCATGTGGCCCGCCAACCAGATAGAGGGCCCCTCAAATCTAGCAGGAGGGAGGGAGAGGAGTGGTCGTGGGCCACATACTCAGCTCACAAAAAGATCCTTTAAAGGGTCATTTTGTTGGTGGGGTGGGGACCACGGCACACAGGGCTGATTTCCCCCAGCCCCATGCACCATGGCCCCCACCACGCTTGCAAAAAGTGTTATGACACCATGACATCACCCCCATTCCACCACCACCCCAAATTACTCCCCAGGGGTGCAAGCAGATGGCTGCTCATTTGAAGTAATGGAGCTTCCACCTGCCCGGCAACGCCGATGGTGGGCGGGGGCTGTTTTGCCACCTCAAAGAATGGGGACAGCAATGGTGCAGGACGCCATGTGTCCTGACGTGGTGGGGGCGGAGCTGGCTATGTAATGTATTGAAACGATTACATGAATCACCTCATAGGACTCCTATGTTAAGCTTCGAGCCAGACCAGGCTCCTCTGAGCGAACTTCCTATTGGTCGCTTCGTAACAGCGACCAATCAGAACTGTGCCTTTTCCCTGCGAGGGAAAGACTTTCATTGGTCCTTAACTAAGCAATCTCATTGGTTGTTATTTGTAAATAGGCGTGGCTACATTAGCCCGGTTATGTTTAAAAGGAGCATAAGCTCCCACTGTTTTCTGTTCTGGTTTCTTACTGAGTTGAGTGCTTGTTCGTTACTTCCAATAAAGCTGAATCACTTGCTGAATCACTCTAAGAGTCCTTTGTTAGCGCGATCTAACAGGCTATTTAAAGGGGGTTAGGCTCCGCTCCTGTCCATGTTAAGCTTCGAGCCAGGCCAGGGCTCCTCTGAGCGAACTTCCTATTGGTCGCTTCGTAACAGCGACCAATCAGAACGGTACCATTCCCTAGGAGGGAAAGACTCCCATTGGTCTTTATTCTAGCAATCTCATTGGTTGTTATTTGTAAATAGGCGTGGCTACATTAGCCCGGTTATGTTTAAAAGGAGCATAAGCTCCCACTGTTTTCTGTTCTGGTTTCTTACTGAGTTGAGTGCTTGTTCGTTACTTCCAATAAAGCTGAATCACTTGCTGAATCACTCTAAGAGTCCTTTGTTAGCGCGATCTAACAGGCTATTTAAAGGGGGTTAGGCTCCGCTCCTGCCTTAGCAGTTCTCCACGTGCTCGCCCACCCTGTTCTTGGTGTAGGCTGTTGCTAGTTGCCAACGGGGCCAGGTAGGAATTTTTCACTTCCACCCAGATTGGCTGAATGGGTGGGGGTGTTTTCACCTACCTTACACTGAGGGCAGTGGACTGAAGGGATGTTTGGGGTGGACGACGTTTAAATAGGTTGGTCACTTGGCAGGTTTGTGCAAGCAAGAAAACGGAACTGGTGAGCACCTTACGGCATATCCCGTTAGG